GTTTTTGAGTTCGGATGGTCTCTAGCCTATTCAGAGGATACAAAAGACTCAAGAAACCATCAAAGAATCTCATAGGCGACCAATAAACCCGGGTGTCAAAACTGCCAATTATACGCCGAATTGACAACTTTGACCCCCAAAATGGGGGGTAAAACTTCGAGAAAGGGAGAAATGCCCATTGACACTTTTGATCAGTAGGTTAAGACCTACAACATATCAAAACGCCAGCCGATTTAACCGGGCCCACTTTTCCCATAAGACCGGTCCGTCGTCCTTTCCTTGAGGTTGTATCCTTCGGTTTTGTAAAAAATATGTTTTTTATCTCATGCATTCTCAGCCAATTTGATTGTATATTTTAAGGATGATAGAAATCGGCGAGAGCCTTCATTTTTGGAGTCTAAACTCACATTCAGTCGCTTGTCAAGGCGTGCTAATCAGCTTTGGATCAAAACAATTTTTGTGTGCTGGAATAATTCTTACATTGTCTTAGTCCATTCGTATAATTTAACTAGTATTTTTACTTGTCAGTGCAAGCCAAGCCTGGGAAATATCTGAATCGACGAGTTAAGTCGTCCAGTCGAGCTGCCGCTAGACGATTGTTTTGATCATGGTTTTTTGATTCCCCTACAAATAGCGCCTCAAATACTATTTTCAAGACCATGCAGGAGTGTTCTGTTGCCTCCCTAATGAATAGTGATTTTTTCTTTTTAATTTAATGCAAGGAAGTACTTAATTGAAAAACATCATCATATGTATTTCAAAGCCCAGCAGGCAAATTAATCATTTCATGCAAATGTGTTGATCAACCATTAGCGATTGACCTTGTGAATTGGGATTTCACAAATTGGTGAAAATCGATGAAAACTCAATAAAAACTGTGTCTCCAACTCTTCCATTGGCTCTGTGGAGAGGGAGAAACATCACCTTTCAAAAAATATTTGTTATACTGTCTTAATGTCCTATAAAGAGGCTCTCTAGAATAAAAAAATTCAAATTTTTGAGCATTCCTGCCAAGTCTAACCAAAATACAGCAAAATCGTAAAATTTCGACCAAATCGAGAAATGCGGCCTTTCTATGAGCATACATATGGGAGATCCCCGCCTTCCATATGGAACAGAACAGTTCTCTCTCTTCATTTATAATAAAAATAGTTTCAAAGAAGCACAAGCCAATTTTCTGCTAGTTTGCCCTGTCACTCGACAAAATCGATGAAATCGTTGTAATACCAGTTGCCCTTATGTTTCCTGCGTTTCTAGGGACATGTTTGGGAAGACAAAAATTACTTTTATCCAAAAACCAATTAACGCATCTTAAATGCCTACGTAATGTGAGTTTAGACTCCTAAAATGAGGGCCTTAGTCGATTTCAAGTATGCTTTTGAAGTACAATCGAATCGGCAGAAAACAAATGAAAGGGGGGAAAAAAATTCACAAAACTAAAGGTTGCTGCAACCTCAATATTTTGAACAAGGTGGAAAAATGGTGCAGGGTCCACACCATTTTGCGGGGAAAACAAAGCCAAGAAATTCCAAAACTTAAAATTAGAGTCAAAATTAAATTTTTTGAACTCTGATATTTCTATTTATCACAAAAAAAAAAAAAAACAAAAACATAGAGTAGGCTTTAAAGTAATATCAATGTACAACGTGTTTCTGCAATATTGAGCTTTGATTTTCGATAAATCAGTTTTTTGGCCAACCCTAGTCTAAATCCCCCTCCCTCCTCCGGAGTGATAACTTCCTAAAGAACATTCTCCATGATTTCAGAAGTTTTTATGCATACCCCTGCGCAATGGGTAATTTTCTTGCCACACTTCTTGCTGACAGCAAACTGCCTTGGCAACTCCACCACTGAGGACTGGCTTTTTAGGAAATGTCATACCTTTAAATATTAAGACAGTACAATCTAGAGGAATATTATACGCATAAAAGTTGTCAATAATTGTACATTAAGGACTTAACACTGTGTCTCAACTGGGATGGTCCTCATTCTTACCTTTGATATTTCTGTCAATTAGGGGCGATTTAACTAATATATCAGTTGGCTTCATTTTTCAATGCTGTCATTGCAGCCCACCAGACTTTCCTATCATAACTGAGCAAGTCTTTTGAATGAGTGTGTATGGCAGTTAGCCGCATACATGGTTTTCCTAGAGAACGGCTTTTCTGATAACTTGTATTCTAAGATATATGTATTGAAAATGTACTTGCTCCTATCAAAATTCTGCGTTTGAAAGCAATTTGAAAAATTTCACCTCGGAAATTCTTGAAAAACCACCTATGTGGATATACGTAGTATATCATGGAGAACATGTCAGTTTGATGAGCAAACGTAACACTGAACTGCTGCATGTAACTGTTGGCAAGTTTTCAGGGGATCCTCCTCTATGATATCGAGGAAAATTAGTTTTTTGGGCAACACCTTGTAGACTACTAATTTTTTCACAAATCAGAAACACAGCTTTCAAAATTCCTGAGAATTTTTAAAGATCACCAAAAAACCCATAGACATTTCTGCAACAAGGATACTAATAAGGAAAACTTTAAAAAAAAGTGTTTTCAGAAATCTATAAGAGAAATTTTAAAATTATGCGGAGTAAACAAAAAGTATGGACGAAATCTTACAATCTTGCTCTATATTGTCTTGTGATTATCGCATATCGCATTATAGTGGGGGCTGAAAGAAATGTCAAAAGACAGTCGCTACTTTAGCTGCGATAAAATTCTAGTCAGGAAGGACGCTTTTGGAGCTCATTTCTGTGCATTAAAGGATAGTTACTTAAGTGGAGTAAGAAAGTTTGACTTTTTTAGGTGCAATTGAGGACCCTGTACGAATTACAACCTATACGCGTATAGGTCTTCGTAGCTCCCACCGGCTTTTCAAATTCTCTGTACCCCGGACCATACCGTGGTACAGGTAGAACATAGTTAGATAACGGCCTCTTTTCCTGAGTTAAGTCAGGCCTCTGGAGCAATGAGTGGAATAACAGCCTATATGTGTGAAGGTCTTTTATGCATCCATAAACCCGTTAATATTGTTTTCAGTTCGCGAGTATCGCTAACAGTGTCTGCTCGTTCATTTGGCATTAATTTTGCGTGGTTATAATTCTTTTTACTCACCAACTTCAAGGAAAGTGATTTTGGGGCGCAGTAACAGCCCATGAACTGATTTTTTAAATTAAGTTTATTTCTGTGGAAACCGAAAATGTATTACAATGTCAACCTGGCATCCTTCAATAGAAGAGTTGGGTCACCCATAAACAGGGTGCCTGCAAAGCACAGTTGGCGTAGCACATAAAGTACAAAACTTGAAATGCGTTTTTCTCGCAACGCGGTTTCCAGTCATAGGTTGTTATTCGTGCGATGTCGTCAATTTTGGACAGTTGTATTTTTTTTGCTCCTTTACTGAATATTTCCTGAAAATGTTCCTTCACCACATTGCAATAGTTTTGTCATGTATTTCTAATCACATTTGTGCTAGAAATGATGACCTAAGTGATTTTTCTGAGGCACGAAAGTAGTTCTCTGTTAAAACCACATTTATCTGAACTTACAGCTTTCACTACTAAAATGTGTCAGGTGAAATTAATTTTCTTTTACTTTAAGCCAAGCAATCAAGGAGAGTGTGCCTTTCAATTCTGTTTTTCAATTTTACGAATTCATCAATTTTTCACAAAACTGCATTCATTTGAATCCTTTTGTGGTTTTCTCCTAACTGTCATTTCTGTTGTATATGGTTATTCTAAAGAACTCTCCAATTCTTAATAGTTGGAGTAATTGGAAAAGGAGCTTGTAAATTTTTATCTTTTTGATAGGAACTCATATTACGAGCTCTCGATTCACTAGTGAGTAAGGCTGCCTGGATTTACCTGTATGACATCATGATCCCATCTTAAGGAGCTGGTAGGAGCTGATTGTGAACACAGAAAAGTTTAATGGAGCACCATTCTTAATTGTTCGCCACTCACTTTGGACTCTTGATTCAGTCCAATTTGTGCTCTGGGTCGTTGTCCTGTTTGAAAATCCACCATCATACGCATTTCAGCCAATTACGTTAATCATATTCTTTAAATCCTCCTTAAACTTTTTGGAAATTGGAACAGTAAGCTACTGTGAAGCTTTCTGTTTTTCTTACTTGCACAAATTAGTCAATAATACTCTCTTTCATTATATTTTGTTAGTCTTACTTTGTGGTATGTAGTTGAAATCTGCTTTTCTGTGCAGATTGAGGAATCTCCCCATGGAAGTGAAATGAAAATCTTACCAGAAATCGACCAGGAACTCGTTATAGTTCATCATGAAATTATCGGTGATTTTCTATATTATTCATCAGATGTAAGTAATATTGTGCACCTGGCTCTCGAACCACCCACAAAGTTTATCAGCATCATCTCTTTCTCTCTCATTTTTTCTCATCAGCTGAATATGCAGAGCCACATTAAAAAATAAAAGTATTAAATTGTCCCAAGTTCATATAGTCTCCTCAGTGCAGAGTAGAACTTTGCCAAGACTTGTCTGCAAATTAGTAAAGCTAATGGTACCTCTGTGTTACATGGGACTGGAAGTGACGCAGCAAATTTAAGAGAACGGGTAAAAGAGAGATAGAACAGCATAAATATTATACTGTATTGATTCAAGACTTGCAATGTATTCCAAGACTCATGTGTTGTTAAACTCTTCACTATTCTCAGGGGCCATGTGTTCGAAAATTACGTCCCGTGTGCACGTTCAGGATGCAAGTTGCCACCGCAGCTTAATCTCCTCATTTTGATCTCTAGAATGAGAAAATCTGAGGTGGACTCCCGGATATTGACGGAGAGGCTCCCAAAACAAGATTGCGGCCAAAATGGCTGCTCAAAAATGAAATTTTGGTGAAACGGCACAACACATCGAGTGAGGTGTTGATTCTCATGTTTACTGGGTCTTAGATTAAAAAAAAAACTGTCTAACAGACCCCTCGGCCCACGGAAATGCTCAAAATCGAAGGTGGCGGCCGAATTTGGCTGCTGAGCGGCCAAAATGTCAAATGCGGCGTAAAGAGAGGAAGAAACACTGAATATATGTTTTCGAGGTCGCAAATTCCAAAAGAAAAGTAAAAAAAAAACTATTTCATGCCGAATAGTCCTGATTTGGTCCACGTAAAGGCCAAAGTCGGCCTCCATTTTGGTTAGATCGCTCCTGATACTCCGTGACAATATCAGAATGGGTTGTATGATAATTCTAAACCTACGTATTTTGGGTTGTAAAGTTCAAAAAATTGGTCCACTGAACCACCGAATGCACAGTAATGCCTATAATCCAAGATAGTGCCCAATTTTAACTTTCCTGGGGAGTTAAGCAGATGCTATTTTGCTCGCAATTTGAGTTAGGCCTAAACTATCAACAATAGCTTTAATGGAAATTCGATGGGACCACACAAAAATTCAACTTAGCGGAAAGTTGGTCTCATTTAGTCATTTGACTTGACGTTTGACTGTAATATTTGACTTCTTCTCAACATGTTGCTTTTTAAAGCGCTTGAGTAAGATTAAAACTTGTTGGATTTTTTGGTTTATCCTTGTCAATTTTTTGCTTTAGATTGGACATATCAGGTGTTTTAATCTTGAGGATTGGAAAAATGTCAGTAATTATCAACATCCAGTTGCTATCAAGACTCTAATGCCTAATATCAACGGAAACAGGATTGCCTTCATTGATGACAAGGGTAATGGCTTCATTTTAAATGCGGTACGTAACCAGCATATATGAAAACTAGAGGGCTACGCCCCCTGCCCGCCACTCGGCCCAACCCCCCGAAGGCGCTCCGCGCCATCAATGGGCCGCTTCGCGGCCCTATTCTTACCCTTCTATCAGTGTTCGTTTTATTTTTCCCATAAAAAATTACGATATGAGGTATACTTTAATTTTAAACTTTACTTAAAATTACTTTAAAATTAAAAGGACGCATTTTGGAATGACTGCTTGATGAAATATTGCAGTAAAACAATGAACAATGATAGTCAGGTAATAATTAAGATATCATGAGTCGGGGATCGGAACCCACACCGATTTTAAAGAGGACGCCTTCGACGTCTTAGACGACTCGGCCACCGCTCGACATGCGTCCTATGGGGCGAATCTTGTGTAGATAAGTGTAGAGCTGATGCGCAGGCTACACAGCTACTGCGCAACCTCCTCGACCACTGCGCATCCTCCCGCGCATAGCGGTAGCAGTACCGGAGCAACCTGTAAACTCACTCACTTTTATAACGTGATTTTAAAAAAACCTGGGTCCTTTTTCCAAAATCTGATCACAGCGGGCTCATCTAGGGCCTATCACCTGTCGATTTACGCAAAAACCATGGAAATCGGGCCGGTAGAACGCTCAAACGAACTATGACAAAAAGTGTAAATTTACATTGTTTAAATGGGAGAATTCGCAACTTTACCACGTAATATAAAAAAACCTGGGCCATATTTTGAAAATCTGAAAAGAGTTGGTTTATCTAGAGACAATTGCCTGTCGATAGCCGCAAAAATCATGAAAATTGGCCCGGTAGAACGCTGGAACTAAGCGTTACCAGTTTCGCAAAATTAGGAGGTCTTAGAGCTTATAGTATAGAAGGTACTGGCATTGCAAGGGTAGCCTTGGTTAAAAAGGGCACTTCAATGCCTTTTTAAGGGAGGAGGTGTTTGACCAATCAGAAAAAGGAGAAGAGCTGTAAAAAGTCATGCCAGTTTCAGTGTTCATCCGAAAGCTTCAGTGAATAGGGAACACTTCAGGAAGGAAAGAATTAGATCATTATTCGAGGTGAACATTTAAAAAATCTACCAAGAGGCTCTATTTACTGAAGCCTACTTGAATCTGTGAGTCTGACTAATGTTTGGAATAATCAAAATTCAGGATAGAGAAAGTCTTAAAACCAGTAATATCTTGAAAAACCATCCAACAGAGGCTCACATGTATAGAGACAACCAAATCCCTCGTGCTTTTTAAGAACTTGTTCAGTAATTATTAATTATTGCATTTTTGTAAAGTGAACGGTGCATTTAGTTCCCAGAAATTTTCCCAAATTTTTATGAATGATGACTAAACGATTAAGTAAGAACGAGTTCAAAGTTGCATATTTTGAGCTCCCCTTCACATGTCCATCGCCAAGAATGCGAAGCTGATGTCCAAGAATGCGCGTCTCGATACAGCTACCATTCCGATCGCGTGTACACTTGACGCGATTTATAGTCTTTACAGCCATGCATTGATAACGGCTCCATATACTTGGATTACAGAAGAGGTAACGTACAATCAAGATCGTGACCGTAACGAGAGAGATATTTTCGGACGCCGTCTTGGCTTTCTCGGCAATGCTTGTTTGGTTGGGAGCTCCATACTTAACTTTGAATTATTAATCGTGATTTAAAGCTGTCCAAAAAAATCTGAGATAATTCCTGCTAACTATGTGCAATCTTTACTTTTCGAAAATAAACGGATCAAAAATTACTGAGCAAGCTCATTGCTACCAATTTTTGGTATGAAGCTTTGCCTTTTTAATGCGCCCATTTTTTGTAAAGTCCCACAAACATTTTCTTCACTGTGATGCCTAGTTGTCATCTTGACAGTCTGCTAACTTTTGAACCAATAAAGGTATTTACAGGCAGTTTATGCCCAAAATTTTCAGAACTCGTGAATTATAATTAATGTACAATTTTTGAACAATTCATCACATTGCCATAAAGATTCTTTCCCGTTTTAGTTTTTCGATTTTTTAAAGGACTTGGTTTACACCTTATGGGACTGTCTGTCACTGGAACTCGTCGATGAATGCTGATCAAAAGTCATCTTTGCGCCAACTTTCTAACAGCCACCGTTTTTGCACCATATGCGGTTGAAGTTTCAATAATTCCTTGAATATTTGAATAAATTTTTTTTTTTTTTTTTTTTTTTTTATTTGCACAAAACAAAGAACAATGTACAAGAAATTGCTATTAGACTTACTTGAGTCTTTTAACAGCTTATTTTAAAACTTAGTGGCTAAATTATACTAAGTTGTTATTGATTTTAACTTAATAACTACCTAAATTTATAACAGGTGTGTGAAATGATAAAACATTTTTATTACAGAATAAGAATGTCTTTTTGATTTATTTGGGTTACGACGGGCTACCCGTCCAAAGACCTAGTTACTCCTGATATGTCCAAGGATCATAAGGAGGCACGTGAGGTTGATTATGGGAAAAGTTTTGAAAAACCCTGGATTCCAAGCTCAAAGGTTTTCCTTCGTTTTAGTCTTCTCACATTTTCACTTTTTTCCAGTAAGGCGAGGGCTTCTGGGTTTGGGTGATTATGTAGTCGGTTTTCATAAGAGGTATATAATTTAGTGATATAATCCTCTACTGAATCGATGTTGAGGTCGGCTCTTATATCTACGTTCCTCTCATACCAGCGTGCTTTAGCAATGTTTCTTAAGATTTTCATTTGGATAATTTCGATTTGATTGAGGTTTGTTACGGCTGCGCAACCCCACAATTGGCAGCCATAGCTCCATATCGGCCTCAACATCGATTTGTAGAGTAAAAGTTTTAACCTTAAATCCAATTTTGATTTTTTCCCAAGTAGCCAAAACATGTTTAGAAATTTGAGTTTTACTTGTGCTACTTTTTTTTTAATATGTTCTTTCCATCTGAGCTTGGAATCCAGGTGTAATCCCAAATATTTAGAAACTTTTTCCCTTGGAATTATATTTTCTCCCAAGTGTAGGGGTTTGTGGATGAATTTTCTATTTGTAAAAACTACTTCAATGGATTTTGTAGCATTGAGTTTTATTTTATCGTTTGTTGTCCATCTATCAATTTTATTTAGATGTAATTGGACATTTTGTCGTGCCTCCCTATAACTCTTGGATGAATCCATCACGAGCGTATCGTCGGCATAGATTCCCATCTTCCCTTCTCCTCTCGGCTGTGGGATGTCCGATGTAAAGAGAGAATAGAGGAGGGGGGATAGACAGGAACCCTGTGGAACTCCCGCTCCTATTGGTCTTAAGCTGGAAATGGCATTTTCATATCTTATTCTGAATTGTCTTCCTTCTAAAAATGAAGATAAGAGTTCCACGTGATTACATGGGAGTATCTTAAATAGTTTCTCGACGAGACGCTCATGCCAGACTCTATCAAACGCTTGCGCTACGTCAAGAAAAACCGCCACACAAAATTTACCCTTTTCTAGAGCATTTTCTATGTAACTGGTGACTCTGTGCAGCTGCTCAATGGTCGAATGTTTAGCTCTGAAACCGAATTGAGCATCTATTATTAGGTGTTTTTTACCTACTATTTCGTTAAGTCTTTTTATGTATAATTTTTCAAATAATTTACTTATAACTGGAAGTAGAGAAATTGGTCTATAAGAGCTAGTTTCTGCGGGGGATTTATCTGGCTTAAGTAGTACGAAAATCTCTGCGATTTTCCATTGCTGAGGTATATATTTTATTTTTATAACTGCATTAAATATGCAGACCAGTTTCATGATGGCTTTATTCGGTAAGTTTTTAAGAAGTAATCCTGAAATTTTATCGAAGCCGGGTGCTTTCTTTATTTTTATTTTGCCCTGAATTTCTCTTTTAATTTCTGAGGGAGTTATAGTTTTGATTTTTGATGGCGGTATTTTCTTGACCTTTTTGGACTTCGGTGGTGACTCATCACCCACATTTTCAGATTCATGTTCACCCTCAATTTCTGCGAAATTATGAGGTTTAAAAGTGTTTTCGAAATGGTCTGCTAGAATTTCTGCTTTATCTTTATCTGTTTCAGCCCATGTTCCATCTTTCTTTTTGATAGGAAAATTGAGTTGTTTTGGTCTTTTAAGGTATTTAGTTGCGGCCCAGAGCGTGTAGTCTTTATCTTTTTTATCAGATAATGACAACAAAAATCTTTCGAATTTGTTATTTAAAAAAGATTGAGTATGTTTTCTAACTAATTTGTTCAACCTGTTAAAGTGGGCTTTGTCTTCAGGATCTTGGGTATATGAGTATTTTCTTTGTATTTTTCTCTTTGAACGAATTAGATTTAAAAGATTTTTAGGAATTTTGTATGGTCTAATTTCATTGATGGCTATTGGAGTATTAATTTTTGCACAATGTTGGATTTGCTCCACCAGCTTTTCTGTCTCTTCATCAATTTTTGCTGGAGTGTCTATTTTAATATTGTTGAAAATTAATTTTTCTAGGTCTTCTCTAAATTTGGTCCAGTTTGTTTTCCTGGAACAGATTGCTGGAGGTTTGTTGATAAGTATAGGGTTCATATGAATAGTTAGATTAATTTTTGCATGTCCAACTATTGGGGAATGGAGAGTATCACAAACTGTTTTGTTTATGAGATTTAGGTTTTTAAATATAAAAAAGTCTATGATGTCGGGCTTGTGACTCTGATTATATGGAAAATTGGTGGGTTTACCAGGTGAAATGAAATTACCGTTTATTTTTTTGACAGCTTCAAAAAGATTTTTACCTTTGGGGTTTGTCAGTCTAGACCCCCAGATAGGGTTTTTTGAATTAAAGTCACCGCCTATTAAAAAAGATTGTCCTAGTTCTCTGAAGAGTTCTAGGAAATTTGCGGTGGTGATTATGTTATTTGGTGGAGCGTATATTGATGCTAAATTAAAGTCTCCAATAGCAGATGGCAGTTTGATTACTACTGATTGGAAGATATCTGTTTGAATGATTTTGGTTAAATTATGCTCTATGTTGTTTTTAATT